TTTTTTTTTTTTCATTTAGAACACTTGTGTTTACAGTTTACCAAAAAAAAAATTGAGTACCTTTGTTATTTGATATTTGAAAGAATAACGAGACAGAGTGAAAAGAAAGAGAAACAAAAAAGGAAAAAGAAAGGTTGGCACTTAGACACTTCAAGTTGTATTTGTAATTATATTAGTACTAAAAATATTATCTTAGTTAGGTAATCTTTTCAGTCGACTAAGTTGAACGCTTTAATACGATTAAATAACGCTTTTTTCCCCAGTCAGTGACTGACAGTTCTACTTTTTTTTTTTTTGGTCCAAATAAATACATCATTTAAAACAAAAAATTGTAAAACTTTGGTCAGTGTATCCATTTTAACTTTAATACTGTTTCCCGTGGTTGGAGTTTGGGCAATATTTTTCAACAAATTTTTTCAGTTACAAAACATTTAAATTCTATTCTTTAACCCTATGTTTATGAAACGCCACTAATTGTCAACAACTTTTTTTTTTTGTTAAAAGTTTAAGAACAGCTTGAAAAAAGGTTGCTTTGATCGTAATAATTGTGATAAAACAATACCACTACAAAAATGAAAATTTATTTAGCAAAACTAAAAATACTGTAGTTGTTACTTATCAATCTCAAAAACAAGAAAAGAAATTGTTTCTGCAATTAAAAAATTAAGATTTAATAATACTTTTCATTTTTATTTACTTTCACATATGCAAGTAAATTTGACAATTATATTGTCTAAATAATTAGCTAACAAAAAAGTTTAGTGAAACAGTAACTATAAACTTCAACTTGAACTTTGAACACCAAAGCAAAAAAAAAGTTCAAGTGTCACAGAAATACTTGGACACCCTACATGTTGTTTCACATTTACCTTTACCTGCTGTGAAGTGCTTTTTTACAATGTGCTTCAGACCTGAAAGAATACGTCTATTTACTTTTCTTCAACCTCAATGCTCTTTTGAAGCTCACTTAAGCAACAGCTTAAGTTTTTATTGTTCTTTGTGAATTAGTGTAGCTATGGATGACCATCAAAGAATCTTCCCTTTATGTGATTTAATTGCTAATTATCGCTTTCAGTTCACTAATATATGTGCGTAGATAAAAGCAATGCTGAAAACTGGAGAAACCAATCTTTTATTATTTAAACTTCAGAAATTTTTTAGACACTATCAATAAACGTAAAATGGACTTTTGCTTACAGCCGTCGCCCATCGTCCCTAAAATTTCAAAGATACGTTTTTGGTTGTTTTGACTACTACTAAATTTGAAAATATAAATCTACTTTGATCTGAGTTTTATGGCAATTTCAAAAAAGTCAGTAGACACTAACAGTCCGACACAAATTTATCTTCCTAAACAATTATTTGCAAAAAAATTTCTCGACCACAACTTTCAGACTAGAGCAGAAGCAGGTGTTTTTGAGAACAAAAATAAAACCCAATAATGTTCTCCAGTGAGTGACAGAAGTCGATTCCACTGTACCCATCACATTTGTGCGCATTACATTCAACAATAATCAAATAGCTGAAAAAATGTTACTTTTTATGAAATCTCAACTTGGTATATTTGTTGAGTGTCGTGATACTAAGCAAAACGCAAAGTTAGAGGTTGGTTTTAAAAAAATCGTGGTTTCACCAAAACCAACAATCAAAATAATATATTGCAGTGTCTATTTCGCAATTGTTGGCAGATTCCTGGTTGGCGTATCTGATTCGCTCTTACAGCCTTCCGTAAATTCGTTGTTAACACGCTGGTTCCCATCAGCTGAACGGAGTTACGCGTTAGGACTGGCCACTGGTGGAAGACAGCTTGGTTTTTTTTTAACTCTCATTTTGTTAACATGCAAGACAACCAAAGGAAATGATAAGTGCCAAAATTATTCGAGGGCAATGAAACATAATCATTTACATCTGACATACAGCAGTTTGAAAAAAAAACCTTGTTTATGCATTTCATGTGCTTAAACTCACAGGCGCAATTCCCTACTAAAATGATTAATCA